CCATAATGATTTTTAATTAAGTATGGCACCTGGTCACATTTATACATTTATCCCCTTTCATATCCTTCTTGCTACTTATAGTCTATCATCATCATTCCAAAGTGACAACCTTCTAACTATTCTATCCAATTTTATGTCATTTACAAATATGGGTTATGCAGCTACTGCTGTATGAAAAATCATCCCAAAACTCAGTGGCTTTAAATAACAACCTTTTTTTTTTTTTTTTTAAATTTCTGATGAGTCTGTCATTCAGCTAGCAGTTATGGTGACTTGGCTTGTCTCTGCTGATCTTGACTGGGCTTACTCAAGCATCAGCCACCAGCTGATAGGGTGGTTGAGGGCTGACTCATCTAGGATGGCCTCAGCTGGGAATGACTCAGCTCTCCTACATAGGCCTTACATCCTTCAGTAGGCTAGCTTGTACTTGTTCTCATGGCCATGACAGTGTTCCAAGAAGACAGGAAGCATATAAGATCTTTGTAAAGATCAGCCCTACCCCTGGTATAAGTAGGGTGGAAAATGGACCTAAGGGAGGGCAAAGATAAGATAACCGACACAATGCCAATGTGTTGTTCTAAATTGTTTGTAAAAATTTGGAAAATTATATGACCAAATACTTTTCATAGAGGACCACAATAGACCTCTTTACACATGCATTGACCAATAAATACCTTTGGAATATGTTTTTTAACCAGTTGTAACACTACCAATAAGTATTTTCATCCAGCCCACATTTTTCCATCATGTTAATAAGGCTTCAGTTTAAAATTTTATCAAATTTGATGCTGTAATTAAGAAATTATCTATAGATTTCTGTACATAAATCATTATTGCATTATTTATAATAACAAAATATTGGAAATAGAACGGAGAAAAATAATTTATTATCATGCATATAATAAATTATTTTATACAGCTTTTAGTTTTCAAATAATTAATGAGATAGGAAATGCTCAAAACTTAATTTTAATGACAAAAGTGGTAGGATACCACTTTTTTTTTTATTGAATGCCAAGAAGAAACAGGATTCTATGAATATCTTTAGAACAATATTCAGTATCAGACAATCATATGGTCTACTATGCCAGGAATGACAAATTGAAGAGGAATGGCGTTGTGTACATCGTCAAAAAGAACATTTCAAAATCTATCCTGAAGTAAAACACCGTCAGTAATAGGATAATACCCATACGCCTACAAAGAAGACCAGTTAATACAACTATCATTCAAATTTACTCACCAACCACTAAGGCCAAGGATGAAGAAATTAAAGATTTTTACCAACTTATGCAGTCTGAAATTGATCAAACATGCAATCAAGATGCACTGACAATTACTGGCGGTTGGAATATGAAAGCTGGAAACAAGAAGGATCAGTAGGTGGAAAATATGGCCTTGATGATAGAAACAATGCTGGAAAACGCATTATAGAATTTTGCAAGACCAACGACTTCTTCATTGCAGGTAAATTTTTTCAACCACATAAACGGTGACTATACACATGGACCTTGCCAGATGGAATATGCAGGAATCAAATCGACTACATCTGTGGAAACAGACAATGGAAAAGCACAATATCATCAGTCAGAACAAGGCCAGGGGCCAACTGTGGAACAGAACATCAGTTGCTCATATGCAAGTTCAAGCTGAAATTGAAGAAAATTAGAATAAGTCCACAAGAGCCAAAATACGACCTTGAGTATATCCCACCTGAATTTAGAGACCACCTCAAGGACAGATTTGACGCATTGAACAGTGATGACTGAAGACCAGACGAGTTGTGGAATGACATCGAGGTCATCATACATGAAGAAAGCAAGAGGTCATTAAAAAGACAGGAAAGAAAGAGAAGACCAAAATGGATGTTGGAAGAGACTCTGAAACTTGATCTTGAACACAAGTAGCCAAAGCAAAAGGAAGAATGATGCAGCAAAAGAGCTAAACATAATATTTCAAAGGGTGGCTTGAGAAGACAAAGTAAAATATTATAATGAAATGTGTAAAGACCTGAAGATAGACAACCAAAAGGGAAAAACATGCCTGATATTTCTCAGGCTGAAAGAACTGAAGAAAAAATTCAAGTCTTGAATTGCAATATTGAAGGATTCTACAGGGAAAATACTAAATGATGCAGGAAGGATCAAAAGAAGGTGGAAGGAATACACAGAGTTACTATACCAAAAAGAGTTGGTCAGCATTCAGCCATTTCAGGAGGTAGCATATGATCAAGAACTGATGGCACTGAAGGAAGAGGTCCAAGCTGCACTGAAAACATTGGCAAAAAACAAAGCTCTAGAAATTGACAGAATACCAATTGAGATGTTTCAACAAACAGACACAGCGCTGGAAGTGCTCACTTGTCTATGCCAAGAAATTTGGAAGACAGCTACCTGGCCAACTGACTGGAAGAGATCCATATTTGTACCCATTCCAAAGAAAGGTGATCCAACAGAATGCAGAAATTACCGAACAATATCATTAATATTACACACAAGTAAAATTTTGCTAAAGATCATCCAAAAGCGAATGCAGGAGTACATCGACAGGGAACTGCCAGAAATTCAAGCTGGATTCAGAAGAGGATGTGGAACCAGGGATATCATTACTGATGTCAGACGGATCCTTGCTGAAAGCAGAGATTACCAGAAATATGTTTACCTGTGTTTTATTGACTGTGTCAAGGCATTCAACTGTATGGATCATAACAAATTATGGATAACATTGTGAAGAATGGGAATTCTCGAACACTTAATTGTGCTCATGAGAAACCTGTACATACACCAAGAGTCAGTCATTTGAACAGAACTAGGGGATACTGTGTGGCTTAAAATCAGGAAAGGTGTGCTTCGAGGTTGTATCCTTTCACCATACTTATTCAATCTGTATGCTGAGCAAATAATCCAAGAAGCTGGACTATATGAAGAAGAACGCGGCATCAGGATTGGAGGAAGACTTATTAACAACCTACGATATGCAGATGACACAGCCTTGCTTGCTGAAAGTGAAGAGGACTTGAAGCACCTACTGATGAAGGTCAAAGATCACAGCCTCTGGTATAGATTGCATCTCAACATAAAACGAAAATCCTCACAAATGGACCAAGAAGCAACACCATGATCAATGGAGAAAAGATTGAAGTTGTCAAGGATTTCTTTTTACTTGGATCCACAATCAACATCCATGGAAGAAGCAGTCAAGAAATCAAAGGATGCATTGCACTGGGCAAATCTGCTTCAAAAGACCTCTTTAAAGAGTTAAAAGCAAAGATGTCACTCTAAGGACTAATGTGCACCTGACCCAAGTCAGAACTGACTGGATGGTACCTAACAACAACAACATGGTAAAACCAATAAAAAGAATGAATTTCTATGTACCAGGACAGGAAAATAAGGGAAGGAATACTTCTCAAGCACTGATACCTCTTTGATTATATCATTTTGTGACTGAAGAGCCTATCAGATATCTACAACTATTTTGGCCATGAGCATTTATTTATAGCCTTTAAACTCTTAAAATTCATGTCACAAGGTGGCATTTTAGCTATCTGGAATTCTTAAATGGATAGTTTCAAAACTAGAGGAAAGCCTCTAACAACACAACAGGCGGCCCTCTTCCTGCAAGGAATACACAGTATGAAAGTAAATAAATCACCTACCAAACAGCTGCCCACCAGCTGCCCACTAGGGTCATTGTGGCAGAATAAAGATGGTCACAGATTCTTTGATTTTCTTTGCACCGAGAAGTGGCGTCTCTATTCCTTCCTCTTGAATTTGGGTGGACTCTGTTACTGCTTGACCAATAATATGTGTCAAAAGTGATATTGTGCCCATTTCCAGGCTCTTGCCTTAAGAGACTGGCAACTTCTACTTCCTTTCCTTGGAACACTCACTTTTAGAAAGCAGCTGGCAGGACGTGAGAAGCCCAAGCCATATGGGGAGGCCATGCGTATGTGCTCCAGTCAACAACCCTAGCTGAGCTCAACCCTATCTAAGCTCTCAGCTGACCACCGGCATTAATTGCCAGCCATGCTGGAGCCATCTTGGATGCTCAGCCTAGTTTTGTCTTTAGGTGACTCCAGCCTTGGCCACTATGTGACTCCAGCTACATGAAAAACCCAAGCAAGCTCCATACAGTCCAGCCCAGTTAACCCACAGAGCCATAAGCATACTAATAAATTGTTGTTTTAAGGCACTAAGTTTGGAATGGTTAGTTGAACATTAAAAACAAAACAAAACACTGAGACATTAGCCATTGTTAGCTGGCACTCTTGCATTTGAAACAAAATTTGAAAGTAGTTAGAGGAAACAGGTGGTGACATAAGATCTCTGTAGAGTTACCTTTCAAACTGGAATGAAGCATTGGTGAGGAGAGCTTCCTATACCTTACACCTTTCAGCATCATATACAAAGATAATGAATCAGAGAAACCAAGAAAAAAATAATAGGAAAGCTCAAGATAGAAGTTCGTGTTTGAGTTGCCCCATGTGTACGACGCTTTGCAATTTACCACAACCCTGGGAAATACGTATTATTATTATCCTCATTTTTTATCTTTCCTTCTCCCTCCCTCCTTCCTTCCTTCTTTTCCTCTGCCTCCAATTTCCAAGTTTCTTTCACTCTGTGCCACTCCACTCTACCTCAGCAGAAGCCTGTTCATGTCTACAGTCTCCCCATGCTCTTTATAGTACATGAGATACAAAAGGATGCTGCTCAAGGTTGCATCCATATATAGAAAAGTCAGGTAAGCTGTCTTTCAGAGGGCAATTCCTGGGAGGATATTGTCCACAGAAACCTTCATGTGCTACCTTAGTACTCTTTGTTCTTCTGCTTGATCAGAAATGATCAAAATGCAGTTGGCCTCATCCTTAGAAGCTTTGTATTTTGTGTATTTTTTTAAAACCATGACAACAAAAATATTAGCTGTATAAACCTTTGTTATAATCAAAGGCATAGTTTAAGTATTATACAGAGTGTTTCACAACTTTGGTTTACTTTCAGGTATTCCCAAGTTGATTACATCTGATATGGTTAAAGAAGGCGCAGCTGTGATTGATGTGGGCATCAACTACTTCCAAGACCCAGTGACAGGAAAGACAAGATTAGTGGGAGATGTGGACTTTGAAGGTAATAAACTAAGTTTTTTTTGATAAATGAAGAAAACAGATTCTACTTTGCGTGTTTTGATAGTAGAAAGAGAAACTGTTTATCTGAGGCGGCATTGTTAACTTATTAATCACAGGGAAAAAAAAGTAATCAAACTTGTTTATTGTCTCCATTACTTCCATCCTTCCTTCCTCCCTCCCTCCCTCCCTTCTTCTCTCCCTTCCTCCTCCCTTCCTTCCTCCCTTCCTTATTTCCTTCCTTTCTTCCTTCTTTCCTTCCCTCCCTTCTTGAGAGGTAAATCTAATTGCACCATTAACATCTGGTTTTATGAGTTCAAATTCCTTGTAGTGCAATTTTTTTAGTGAAGGAATTCAGCTAGCCTTTGTTGACCTGGACATTATTTAGTTTTTGGAGTATCATCTTACTCTATACTTAGTCGTTCATATAATCTTTCACTCTAAGAGCCAGGAAGGATCTTAGGGTGTTTGCTAACGCTAGCTCTATTTCAGATCTAGGCAGCTCTCTGCTTTATAGAATTGTGCTTTAAAAAGAACAAGGAGCTAGCCTACAATGTCTATGACCAGCGAAGGAGATAAGGCAGCTAATGTGTAGTAAACTAGTACTAATCCAGTCCCTTCTCTATGCAGAGCAGGAAACTGAGCCCCAAGAGAGAGGTTTTTTTTCAGATGCGTGATCCCTAATCCAATTTTATTTCCAATATCTCTATCAGATGTTTACCTGAATTTCAAGTTCTCAGTTTATGGGAGTCATAGATATCTATGAAGATATAAAAATAGTGAAGTAAGTGGAGACATTTTCATATTAGGAATATTATATTAAACCAGTCATTCTGGACAAAAAATTCAGGGCCATGTCAAGAATTTTATTTGTTATAGGTGTATCCTTAACAACAAACTGAAAGGAATAGATTACATGATTTTCTAAATAATCTAAATTTTAAAATTTCCGCTTGGAACCCAGTCATCAGTTGATGGTTTACACAAGTCTTACCATGGTGTTGAATAAAATTGAATATTCAAGTAGTCAGAAATGCCCTAGGATATTGGCAGCTTCTTGGGTATTGGCCCCATGTATGTTAGAATCTATGTGCATCAGGTACCAGACCCAGATAAGCAACCTGAGCCTGGCGTGAAAAAGAAGAAATAGAACAAAGCCTGAGAACACACACATACAACATTCTGTCTCTCTCTGTCTCTCTCTCCCCCTCTCTCTCTTTCTCTCTTTCTCTCTCTCTCTCTCTCTCTCTCTCACACACACACACACACACACACACACACAGACTCCTCAGGGTGATGCATGTGTGAGTATATATTAGCTTGTGGATGCTATGCCCCATCATCCCTTATCAACATCCCTTATAACGCACTGCTTTTTCCTTTCAACGTAGGTTTTTGAGACGGCAGACTCATGTTTTATGACTCAAAGCTAGTTCTACCTTATTTTTTCTGACTTTAACAGGAGTGGAGGAAAAAGGAAAAGAGAAGAGGAATCTCCTGTATACTTGCTGCTGATTTGGCTAAATCTAGAGGGTTGTGCACTTGGACTCATACCTTTCATGATTTTTTTCATTCCTTCAATAAATATAGAGTGACTGCATACTCTGTGTTAAACACTGGGGATAGAATGGTGACTAAGGGCAAAGTATGGATGTACGGTATCAAAGTACATGTTGCTGCCCTTATAGGCTCTAATTCACAAGGTTTCTACCATTTACGGAGCTTCCAGTCTAAAAGGGGTGGCTCTCCATGTAAATGTGTGTGTCTATCTGTGTATATGTGTGTGTTGTGTATACATGCTGAACTCTTAGGAAATTATCTTTATTTCATGTTTCATATTCAACCACTAAAGTTAGATGTCAATAATTTATTTAAATATTTCAACTTTCTCAACTTGAAAGAGTAAGGGTAAATTTCATTTTTAAACTTTTTTTTTGCGTTGTTATTCTACTTCTTGATATTATAGCTACTGTGTGTTTATTGCAAAATCACCACACACTTATGATGCACTCAGATAACATGGACTACATGAAATAAGGGATGTTTGAGACAAGAAAAACAGGGATGTTTATAGTTTACAACCTTGACTATGCTTGTGGGACAAGCATACCTAGCAGTTCACCAAGTTTTATAAGACTCTTCTCATCTGATATGTCATTGGTCCCAGAACATTTCTATGCTTTCTGATTTTTAGTTAAAATGTTTTTCTCGTGAGGGTATTCTGAAAATATTACAAAAATGAATACTTCTTGGTGGGTGCATATACTTAGTGTCACACATGGATATGCACTTTAGGTCGTACACCCCTCAACCTGGGAATATCTGTGCAAATTGCATTTATGCATATATAAGTATATAGTGAAATAAAAGAAAATGGAAAAGAAAACATAAATATATAAGATGAAGAGGAAAGAGCACTGGGCTGGGAAACTGAAGCCTGATAACGTAGCAACCTCTCTGACTGCCAGTGGTATCAGCAGGTAAATGAGAGGGATGAATCAATGGCCCCTTCCAGCTCTAACACTTGATAATCTTGGACATTCAAAGAGTGCTACCAAATTACTTGAAAACACAGATTCTTTCGAAAGGAATGTCAGGTTTTTCCAGTCCTTTCACAAAACACGCCCGTATGATTGTTAATATTACCTAGCTACTCTGCTGGTTCATGAAGGCATTGTACTAAAGAAGACCTGGACTTGGTGGAAAAAAAAAAAAAAGGCTTTGCCAATGAGACCATGACTCAGCCACCTGTAGGAAGACGGAAGTGATAGGTTTTGACATGTTGCTCTTCAGGTTGGGTTGTTCATCAAGACTTAACCTGAGGTGAGGGATGATCCCCCAACTGAGAGGGAGGAACTTTAACTTGGGTTATGCCACAAAACCTAAAGGTAGCATTTGGCTGCAAATTGCCACAAGGAAAGTGTGGCTGCTTTGTGAGTATCGGTGAAAGTTTCACAATACTATAGCCAAGATAAACAAAACAGATGTGGGTAAAATCAAATGTTGAAGTAACTTATCCTTACAAAACACTTTAGCTCACTAATAAAAGAAACAAGATGACTCATTTCAAGTAGATTACATGGATGAGAATGATCTTTGAAGAATAATTTCATCAATGACCCCATTTTGGGAATCTTGGAGCATTTAGATAATTTCAAATTCAATAATGTATAAAACCAAGGGCCATTTTATCTATTCTGTTTTTAAGAAAATGCAGATACTTATTTGTAATCTTCTTCATTATTAGATGTTTTGGCCTCAATTTTGACAATTTTTTTTTCTTTCAGCACTTTAAATATGTCTTTGCACTGCATATTTAAACTTTCTGAGGAGAAATCAGCACTTAATCTTATTGAGGATCCCTCGAATGTGATAATTTGTTTTACTCTTGCTGCTTTCAGGATTCTCTCTTTATTGTTGGTTTTCAAGACAGTGATTATAATGTGTCTCCATGTGGATCCCTTTGGCTTTATCCTACTTGGAGTTTGTTAAACTTCTTGGATTTATAGATTCATGTCCGTCAAATCTGGAAAGCTTTCTGCTATTATTTCTTTGAATATTCTCTCTTTCCCTTTCTCTCTCACTGCCTCCTGGGATTTTCATGTGACCTGATTTTTAATCAGGTTCCTTTCTAAAGAGAGTGATATTTTATACCAGGTAAAGCATGAAAGTCACATCACCACTTGCTGTAGTTCTTGACAAAAGAAGACTTAAAAATACTCGAAATGTTTCTTTTCAACTTTAATGTCGGGTATTTGTTTTGGTTTAGATGTAATCTCCTCCAAAGCATGTCTTCCTTCATCTACTATGGTTTCCTGCTCTCTTTTTTCTTTGTTCCATTTTCTCCTTTTTTTTTTTTTCCATCTTTATCCCCCTCCAGAGCTCAGAATAGTTGAGAGAGTTGTGTTGTGGTCAAGATTAGAAGTGGCATGAAGAGAACAATTCTCGTCCCTCCCTACACCACTCCTCGAATAATCTCCTACCACCTCAGTCACAAAATTGCCAATATTTTTGGAAAGGTGGCAGACAAACCTAGTAGAAAATTACATTAAGAGTAAGGAAGGTGTGAGAAGCTTTCTTCCATGTAGATGTCTTCTCAGGACAGTTGGAGTTGTTCTTCCTGTAGTAATAATTGTTGTTGTTAGTTGCTGTTGAGTCAGTTCTGACTCATAGTGACCCCACATGTACAGAGTAGAACTGCTCTATAGGGTTTTCAAACCTGTGACCTTTTGGAAACATTTTCCTAGCGCTGTCTTTGAAGTGCCTCTTGATGAGTTCAAACCACCAAACTTTAAAATAGTCAACCACCACCCAGGGATGTCTTAGTAATATTAGTTAGTATTTGAGAAGTGCTTACAATGTGCCAGGTACCGTTCTCAGCCTTTTACATAAACTATTCATTTAACTCTTATAATAACCATATAAGGTAGATATTATTATTATCTCCATTTTATACAGGTACATGAAGCCTGAGGACCTTGCCTGAGATCACACAGTAATAGTGGAACGTGTGTTTATAGCTCACTATGTACCTTCTGCACTCGTAACTTCTACCGTGTATTATCTGCATTATACTGTACTTCACTTGGTTGATACCATTTGGGACATGAAATTACTTATTTTATCCACCCACCCCCTCTGGATCTATATAATAGCAGTTTTAAAATTGCCTAAATGGCAGTATTGGTGTACAGGCAGTCCTCATTTTGCATGGTTGTGATATGCTCAGATTTCAGTTACCAGGGTTCAGTTCACTAACACCAGTCCCCCAACAGTGTGACTCAAATTTAAGTTATTACAGTACATTAACTAACGATGAGTAATTGCATAAATCACAAACTTTTCTGCTAGCTCTTTAGCCCACAAATCACTATGTAAATAACCAATGTGCATCATGATCAGTGACTAGTCGCGTCACTTCTTTCAAAGTCTGTTGGTGGTTGGTCTCTGCTGTTTTTCAGTCCAGACAGCAGAACATAGTTGTGTCACCTCTTTGTCTCCCAC